GCATTTCTATAATGACTAATATATATTTTTTTGTACAAGTTTTTAAATTAAACCCCTCTTTTTCTGTCAGTAGACACCAATCAACATTAAGATATTGAATTAAAAACAGTGTAAATTTTGCTTTAAGTAATTTTTAATTTTTTTTTTCCAGATAAATTTATTGAATTTATTCTATTTTCTTGCAATTAAAACCAAAATTAAATCTTCAAAAAGATATTTATATTATTGCAACACATTTAAAATTTAAAAAAAAAACAAAAAAAAAACAAAGTTCCATGATCATTGCTACAATTTATAAAAGTTTTGGTACTTACCTAATTCAGACTTGTAACATAAATTATACCAATTTATATGGATATATTTTCAGTGTTGTATAACTTCTGAAGCTGTCTCCATTCAGACAAGTCTATTGTTTGCTATTTTTTGATGTTTATATATCTAGTGCATATACATTGATACAGATGATATAATCCAAACTTGTTGCAGTATGTGTTTATTTTTTTTTATGCAGAATATGACAGGTGTATCTAGTCTACATTCTTAAAGATGAACAAAGAAGTGTTACATGTTTTGTACATTACAAAACAACAAGCACTGGCTTATATAGAGACCAATCAAACTTCTTCATTGGATCAACAATATTTATTTTTTGTATCTGTAACAGACAGTTCAAATTACTTATCTTTAGCAGGTAAAAGTATTTCTATAATTCACCTATCCAAATTGATTTCTAATTGTAATAATAAAAGACAACCTATGAAGTTTGAAAAAAGTTAAGAGAGACTAGAATTCAAATCCTAATGTTTGGTAATTTATTAGTATTTGTTTATATATTCAATAAATATGTGTATCTAGTAACTATTCAGATCACAATATAGCAAAACTATTCCATTTTCTTATTTTTATCACTTTTAGTATTTCCAAGATGGCATTTAAATGTTATTTTATTTCAGTCTAAAAAAGAATTTTGCAAAGTTTACATGCAGGAATTCATGTTGTCATCAAATAAAAGAAAACTAGAGTATTTGTCAAAATTTCTTAAACTGCAGGATTATAATAATGATACAAAAACCAAAGACAAACAGAATTCAAATTCAAGATAGTGGATTCTGGTTAAATGAAACATTGCTTACAAGGAATAGTCACTTAGACCAATTATGAAAGAACATTTTTACTTTTTCAAATTCAGACTGTTCTTTTTATACAAACCCATTTAAAACAAACAACTGTTTATAGAGAACAAAATTTGTGGTCCTGATGCATTTCACTTAAGCAAAATCTACCGTATTCACCAAATAATTTATATATAATCATTTGGCCAAAGTGAAACTTACAAACTCACTAATTTCATGGGTTTGACTTTTAAATACTTAGCGGGGTTTAAACTAGGCTACTAATCATACACTTGAAAGGGAACCACCTCCTTCCAAAATTAAGGTCTATGAACATAGCAATTCTTATATTATGTTTAGTAAAATAATCTTTTGTGATGATTATCACCTCAATTATTTGTAAGTGACCTTTGACATACCAGCAGCCTTGACATTCCTGTCAGCATCCTTAAAAGGATAGTTCTAAAAAGCAACTGAAAACTAAGTCTAAATTAATTTCAGGTTAAAACAGAATTACTAAATGTAAAGTCGTATAGAGGCCATGTTTCTAAATATTTTTAAAATAATTTTCTTTATGTAAAAGTAAAGATATGCTGTGTAAGAAGTTCATAACTTCACAAGCCTTTTAGTTTTACTTTTACTGCATAAATTTCATCTTTTAATGTGAAGTGAATTTAAGTCCATTTGTATAAACCTCCTTTTTTAATCATTCAATAGGGACTTTTTGTTAAAACTTATATTTTGCAATGACATTGATTGCAATTAAAAAAAAAATGATAAGCATGAGCATTCTTTTATAAAAAATAATCTACAATGAAAGATTTGTCAATTTCATGTGAAGGTCTCGATAATCATTGGCAGATATTTAAAAAAAAGGAAACAGCATTATCAAGCATTATTATACAAAATAAAATCTACTATTTCTTTTCTTAGTTTTTAAATATTTTGCTTATACACATACAAGTTGTGTAGTATATCTACAAACATTGTTACGATTAATTAAAAAAAATATAAATAATCTTCTTGACAGTTGGACTTCAAAAGAATTAAAAATCATTACATTTTCCTAAATCTAAATAGCTAACAAATGCCTTAGTAAATTACTTAAGTGGTCAATCTTCCTCATTAGGTAAAAAAAAATAAAAACATTAGACTGGTGGAATTTTGAAATACACATCAAATTTTAATAAGGAGATATTATGAAATATATTTTCTCGGTCTCTTTTTTTTTATGGCCCCTTTTTTAGTAATTTAAAAAAAAAAAATCACTCATTTTTTTAGCCTTTTAGGGTTTCAAAAAACAGAGTTTGTGTGTGTCTACTGTGAGAAATGTTGTAGTAGTAACTATGAAAAAAATGTTTTTAAACAAAAATTTTCTTCTTTTTCTCTTGATGGTAATTTAACTGTGATAATTAATTTGTATTTCTCTCATTATTTAAATTAAAACTTAACTGTTTTGATTTGAAAAATATGAAGTACGTAAATATTGTCTATGATGATAAGGCAGGTCAAATTTATACGAGCGGAAAAAATACATTCCTATTTTCTTCGTTCAAACAAAATTTTCTTTGGGTATTAATGGCAGTACAAGGTTTCGTACTCAAAAATTCTGCAAATATTTAGTGTTTGCTTTTAAACTTTAATACGGAGGATGCTGAAGAAAAACTATCATATAAAAATTAAAAGCTTCCCATAGAGAAGATTTTAAAAATAGCAGCAAGCAACAAGGAGAGATGATGAAAATAATGTGATATAATAAAATAATGGTAACATTTCAAATTCAATGAGTCCCAACAAGAAGAATGCTTTTCGTGCACCAATAATACGTGGTCATTTTTTTTTTTCGTTTTAAATTAAATAAGGCCTTATCAGAAATAAAAAAAAAAAAAACTTTTTAAAAAGAAATCTAATCGAACTTTGAACTCTTGTCGATTTCAACGTGGGGATAAGTAGTTTAAACAACAACAGCAAGAACACATGTTATCTCTTTTACTTTAAGGAAGATATCCTTGGCGAATGTGTTCTTGTAGAAGTCTCAAAGCAAAACTAAAAAGACAAAATCAGGAGGAATCTATTGCACTCTTGTTGTTAAAACTAAGCAGGCAATGGTAGACACTAAGATAGTAGTTGTAGTCAATAGTGTGTATACTAATGTTACTGTTGATGTGTGTAGACTAGACACACGCATCTTTTTAGGCAGTGTATTGACAAAGATAATAAATGGTCAACTAAAATCAATGACATTACTACAGATTTTCACCTGTGTACATGTGTATATTACAAAAACTCGGCATTGTTACCTTTAATGAGTGTCAAAACAAAATAAATGAATTCGTAAAAGAGTAGGTTACTATATCTTGTGACTTATGAAAAGAGTGGGTGTGTGTGTATATTATTGCGTGTATGTAAATATAAATCTATGTGTCTGTATGCGTTTGTGTGAAAGCCAGGTCACCAGGTTCCTATATAGTCTCAACACACAAACCGGGTTGTTTCCCACCAAAAGAAATGTTGATTACTGATATTTACGACTACGTTTTACGGGCATCTGAACAACATTTCTTCACTTCTTCATCGAAACAAAAAAATAATAATGTTGGTCTGAATTTAAACGGATGACTATAAAACAAAAAATTTAGAATTTGTGGATTCCTTTTAGTTTTTTAAAAAAAATTAAAAATGATTGCTAGATTTTTGGTTTGTTCTTCAGATTCCAAAAAAATCTAATCGCGAATCTTTCTGTTTTTATTATTAATTGATCAGAATTGACGAGTATTTGTGTGTGTATATCGACTGGTAGCCTAATTTCGAAAGAAAAATGAGAGACCATGTTTATATATTTAAAAATAAACCTATATTTTCAGTTATAAACGAATAAGTAAAGAATAAGCATTACGTTTTATTAAGGTTTGGGGGAAAAAAAAACACTTTTTGCTTTGTTTTTCTTACTTTTTTTTTTTAAAATGGTTTCGTTTTTGTTTTGTTTTCCTATGTATATTATAGTTTGTTGTTTCTCTTCTAGCTTAAAAGCCCGAAAGATGGGGTTAATGACGAAAGAAGCTAATAATTGGATTTTAATAATAGGAAAATAATAATATAAGTTACATTGTTTAAGAAAAGTGAGATTTAAAATCAGGCATTGCTCTGCTACCACCAGAAGAATAGTTTCATTTCAAAGACAGGAAAACCGGTCCCCCATTTTGTGACCAGAAAAGCCACCTGTATATGGAATTGAAAATGGTATATTTGCTCGATAAAATCATGATCAGAAAGGAATGATGACAAGAAAGAACGGTGAAAAAATATAGAGATAAATACTTTTTGTACAATGTCGAGTGACTTTTAAAAATAATATATCTAGACTATCTCTTCTCTTCGTTCACACGCTCAGTTATTCATAGAAAGAAATAGTGACATTTGAGACGAAATAAGGAATAAGATGTAGATAACATTAAAGACATAAGTAACTATAAAATGAAGATTAATGAATTTATCAATCAAGAAGGAAAGCTGATTTAGGAAAATAATAAAACATAAATCATTTATAAAAATAAAAAAAACAGAGGCCGGGTTTTGTATGCATCTGTGAAATGTGAGGGACACATGATAACGAAAAAGAAAGAGAGAAGGTGTGAGAGAAGACTACAATAAGAAAGAGGGGGGGGAAGAGAGATCTACAATTAACTAGAGAAACAAGAGATGGCAGGTTAAGCGTCCACAGAGGGGGGCAAGAGAGGGTTGATTCCACATAGAGAGTAGGTGAAGAAAGAGAGGAAGGGAAAGAAACAAGAACAAGGGGGCAATGAGTGTGTATGTTTGTTTTTTTTTCTTTCTTTCTTTTTTTTGCGTGTGTGCATGTATATAGTTTTCAGGGGGTTGAAATCTCACCTGCAATATATTAGGAGTAAACACAACTTCCTTTACGAGGGATCTCGGAGGTGTGACAGTCGAACTGCTACGAAGTCCGAAAAAGTTCTTTATTATGTCTGTAAATTTCTCCTCCGACTTGCCTTGCCGCGACATTTTCGCTCATCTCTCCTCTTCTCAAAAATTTGACGTCGATTCTTCTTCTCCTCCTCCTTCTCTCTCTCCTTATTCTCTCTTCCTTCCTTCTTTCTTTCTTCGTTTCTCTCACTCTTTCTCCTTCTAACAAGGCGCCTCCTCGGCAGCAGCAGCAGCAGCAGCAATCATTTCAGCACGTGACACAGCTCTGCTAGGTCGCTTCTATCCTCCACAAAAAAAGCCTTTTTTTCACCTGTCTTTGCTAACTAACAAATAAAAATGCTCAACATCTACATCCGATCAAAACCATTCTCACTAAATTAAAAATAAATAAATAAAAGAAATCCTACACCCAAACAAAACTTAATAGTACTATCATCCAGACCCTAAATTCACACCCCCAAATCAAATCTTTCCTGGATTTGGTATCTTTTTTCTTTCGCTCTCTCTCTCTCTTTCTATAGAAAAATTAACTAAGCGACTCTTCTTGTCCTTGACCTTGTAACAAATTTTTGTAAAGCATGTGAAGAAGGCTTTTAAAACAGCCTTTTACGATGATGTATATGGGTTCGATTCCCACCGGTCTTATCTCTACCTACCTAGGTCATAGTGTTCAAATTCTAGTTTCTGTTTACCATTAGTATTCCTTGTACAGAGACCCTGATGATAGTTCTGAACACTTGGCATATATCTCGAATAATACTGTTTATATTTTCATAAATAGTCAATGATTGATATCAAGTCGTGAAAAGAACTGATCCTTCACATTTTCATGGATGATCTACTCTAGTACTATAATAAATAAGTAATAATAACAGTTAGTAGTAGTAGTGGCCGAGGCGCTGCTGACAATGAAGCTACTTTTTTTTTCGCATCGGCTCTATTCCAGCCTTAGTCAAAGAAGAGCTATCTTCAAAATAAACGAATTGTTTATAATAATAAAAATAATAATTTGAGATTTTTTTTTTTTTACAATAATAATATCATCTGATATTTTTTCTTCTTTTGCAACTACTAAAAAAATTACGTACTTAACTTAACCAAAAAAAAGCTTAATTCCCAAAGCTCTGAAGTCTTGGTTTCAGTGTTTTTTCATGCTTCAAATGAATTTTGTAACTTCTCAGAAGGATAACAAATATTTTTAAAAAATGTATTATTAAAATAAAATGAGAAGAAAAGAAGACTGATTAAGAAGACGTGCGAAATTTTAAAAATTGACCACAAAAAAACTAGCTCCAAAATTTCAAAGTTAAATCGAAAAAAAACTTTTTCAGTTTTTTTTTTCGTTTGAAGAAAAAAGTTAACTCGTTGAAACTAAATTAATTATTTACTTATTTTATCGATTTATGAAATTCCTAAGTATGATGAATAATTTTATATTTCTCTTATTATAGAGAAATTTAATTTAACTACTTTTTAAACTCAAGTTTTAAATAATCATTTTCCTCTAAAAAGCCAGATTCTCTAATTTTTTAAGTTTATTTATTCAATTTATAAAATACAAAATAAATACATTCTCTGTATGTTTTATTTTCAAAAAAGATATGAAATATTTGAAAAGGTCATTTTATTGTAAATACTTGCTTGAGTTTTATTTTATTTTTCTTCGCTACATCTCTAAGATGATGACGCGATAAAAATGGTCTTGTTTCAATTGATGTTGAAAAAAATGTTCGTTTGATGTTATTGTTAAAAAAAAAAAGTTTATAAATTTTTAAAATACTGTTTTTGTTTTTTCTTAAAAGGATTGAATATGTTTTTAGTTTATTGGATGAAATGAAAAAATAACTTTTATTGTAATTTTTTTAAAATTGGAAACAAGTTCTCAACTTTTATTTTGACAGTTCAACAAAAAAAATCTAATGGCCACCATTGATGAAAAGTTTTTTTTTATCAAAAATTAAATATTAGTAAGAAAAAATCATAAATTATTATAAATACAGAAAATATTGTATTACAACAATTACATTGATAATTTTGAAATATTATATTTTTTGTGATTGTTTAAATGAGAACTTTTTTCGGCATTAAATTCGAATCACATGTAAATGAAAAGAAAAACCTTTGTTTTTTTAAATATTTTGTTTAAATATGAAAATTGCAAACTGGAATTATTGAAAAATCAAGTCATGATTAGATTATATAGCTAGTTTAAAACAACAAAACATTAATGATTTTTATTTGACAAAAAACTTTCTTTTCGTTTTTATTTTTTCTTGTTATTCAGCTAACTAAAATGAAAGTTTTTCTCTATATAGATTTTATTTTATTAATAGTAGTTTTCCATTATATCAGAATATTTTGAACTTTGAAAAACCAAAACGAAACAAACTTGATAAATGAACATAAGAAAACAAAATGTTTTTTATGCAGGATTTTATTTCATTCATTTATGTTAGGTAGGCAATAACAATAATTTTACTGTTTCCTGATTATGACAGCAAAATATAATGAATCGATATATTAAGAGAAAAATCATTGAAGATTAACTTATCACAAAATAACAAACTCTTTTCTACTAAAACACAGTGTTAAAAAAGGGAGCATCATACACATTTCATTTTTGAACTCATACTTTGTCAAGAAGTGCAAGAAGACCCACTAAAAAAAGTGTCACAATTAAAAACTGGGTGAGTGAGGAAAATGTGATAAAAAATTGTGAAAAATATTGAAAAACAATACAATATCAATGTCATTTGAAGTTTCATGTGATTTTTTCATTAAAAAATGGACTTAGTTCAACACTCCAACAGTCAACTGCTTTTTTATCGGCGAACTTTTAAAACCTTGAAGTTTTCTCATGTATTATTTCTCTAATACTAAAATTCACTCACTGTTAATTATTTGTTATTGTTTCTTTAATATAAATGCATAAAAAAGTAATATTTTCCGCTTCGTCTCAAGTACCGAAACCGATATTCTGTCGTCTGCTAATTTATCACATGGTAATTTATGATAACGGAAAAATTTAACATTTACACCGTTTTATTCTTAAACTAAACTTCCGGTTCCGGAAATCGCTTATCATATAAATGATAAGATGGCGGTGTATGAGTTTGTGATGCTGCTATCCCGTGTAAGAAACACCAGCTGAGATAATTTTTACAACCGTTGATCATAATATTTGATATTTTCATTGAAAATAGGACATCGTTTTTGTTCTGTTCTGGCTAGGATCTTTACCAGAACGTCGAATTTATCCTGTTAATTTTTGTATGCATCAGCGTTAATGAGCGACGCATAGGTAAAAAAACAAAAAAAAGAATGAATGGATGCACTGAAATTATGAAGAAAGAAGTTTTATTTATTTATATTTACTTTTTCATATAGGTCCTCTTCCTTTTTATTTGTTTGTATTTTTTGTATGTGTTTTTTCTTAATTTCATTACAATGACCGATTTAAATCCAATTGCTATAATCTTAGCAACGTCTGGTTCGAAAGGCAACCGAATTTTATTTCGTTATCCACCAGAAACAGTAAAAAAGAATGCTGTTGCTTCAAAATGTAAGTTTATTTTTAATGTCATTTTGTTTATGTGTATTAACTAAAACCCATCTTTTAAAAATATAGGAGTTTTAAACTTTTAAAAAACTATTTTCCTTCTGTATTGTTTGTAACTAACACACCCGGAACGATGACATTTTTAAGCGCAAGAAAAAGAAATAATTCTTTAATTGGAGTAAAAAAAAATCATCTGATTGTTTATGCGTTAGAAGTGGCCTAGATTACCTTTTTCCCCCTAAATGATGTCAGTAGTAGTGTCATACATTTGCAATTTTTTCTTTTAGTCTTAAAAAAATATCTTTAAAATAGCGCTTTCGGCCTTACATTTTTTCCATTTCGTTACACTAACAGTCTCGCCATTACCATGAAGCACAAGGCCAAGGGTTAATAAGCCATCTGTACCTAAACAAAAAAAGTGTGCTCGTTACACAAAAATCACACCCTTTTTGTGCTATGTGACTTTTTCCTGTTTTAATCAAAGTCTCACTCGATGGGTTCTTGGCGTAAATTTGTTTTGCCAAAAAATGCATCAAGCAAGAATAAAATAAACAAAAAACGACACTGATTTTATTTTATTTTATTTTATCATTTAAAAACTGAATTTTGCTTTTAAACAACAAACAACACTGTTGTTGTTCTCGATGAAGGAATTTATAGTTAAAAAAAAAAATGATCTCATTGGCGTCTGTACGTAAAAGAGTCTCGTGTGGAAGCTATATTGTTTTTTAAGCTGGCAAAAAAAATTAACGCAGAATCACGGCGTTCATAGGACGGGAGTTGAAAAAAATAAGATGGAGTGTACGAAAGACGGTGAGAGAAGAGGAAGTTAGTTTACAAACAGCAAAACAATACAACAAATACAACATACATTTTGTAACTCAAAGAAAATTAACATCTACTAAGGAATTTTAAGACAGTCTTTCGAATTTAAACTACAAGCTATTTCGGCATATACGTAAGCGCCGTGACGGTATGGAGGGGAATCGAAAAGTAACTGTCGATATGGTGAAAACATTTAGTGGCGAAGGTGATTTGATGGCCTGCTTGGCGAAAATGAAATTGGTAGCGAGACTGCAAAAAATCCACGACCTCGCAAGTTTTATGACCCTGTTTTTAGAAGGAGACGCCCTGGCCTTATATCTCCAATTGACCGATGAAGATCAACGGGATGCAAAGAAAATAGAGGCTAAGTTAAAAACAGCCTTTACGGACGGGGTTTTTTCTGCATATGCAAAGTTAGTGAAGACGCGACGAAAATACAACGACTGGCGGAATTAGCAGGGTTTAAAGGAAGTGGACAATGTTGTGTGCAGAGGGATCAGCACAGTGACGTTGGAGGTATGTGGACGGTTACTGAGAATCGAGGCAATTATGATCGAAAAGATCATTGATGGTGTTGACGTCATTGTGGGCATGGATGTTATCCGCCAGCTTGGAGGGTTTACTGTCTATGGAAATGGTAACGTGGAGTTCAGAGGAGGAGATTGTGCTATGAACATACAACCAAACAGCAAGATTAGCAAAAAATGCAATGCGAAGTGTTAGATAAGGACTTTGGGGCAAGATTTGATGGAAAGTAGTGGAATGGAAATGGATTTCAGAACCCCCGATTTTAAAAAACAAATGCTAAATTGAGTAAGGAGAAGAAAGTCGAGTTCGACAGTGAAGTTAAACGGTGGATTGAGGAAGAAATCTTAACCCGTGGGACCAGGATGTTCAGACAGGAGTGCTACCCTTAATGGCGGTGGAACAACCCCACAAAAAACAAAAACAAAAGGTCAGGCCAGTTCTCAATTACCGAGAACTAAATAAATACATTATGTGTCATTCTGGTGGGGATGCAATTGACATTTGTGGAATAAAAATTAAGGAAGTGGAGGCAAATGACAACAGCATCAAAAATTGTTGATCTAAGGTCCACATATTTGCAAATACATGTCGCAAGACATCTGTGGAAGTACCAGTTAGTTCGGTACAAGGGACAGACCTATTGTTTAACGAGGTTGGGTTTCGGTCTAAATGTAGCCCCGAAGATTATGTCAAAAATCCTAAAAAATGTGCTAACAAAAGAGGAACAAAAAACACAGATTCGTATATTGACGATATACTAGTGGATGAAACAGTGGTACCAGCAGCAGACCTTGTAAATCATCTTAACAATTTTGGCTTAACAGCAAAGCCACCAGAATCATTAGAAGGAGCAGCAGCGTTGGGTCTTCGACTTCATATGGATAAAGCAGGAGATCTGGTATTTGCGAGAGGGAATGACCTGCATGAGGAAATGAGCAGATGTCAACTGTTCTCTGCCTGCGGAAAAATGGTGGGCCACTACCCAATAGCTGGATGGCTTAGAATCACCTGCAGTTATTTGAAGAGAAGAGCAGAAGAAATCGATTGGGAAGACATGGTGGATAGTGAAACAACCGGTGTTGTACGGGAAGTTGTGGAAGAAGTTCAACACCACGATCCGGTTCGAGGGAGATGGCATGTTCCCAAATTGGAAAAGGGCATTGTATGGTGCGACACAAGCAGTATGGCCACTGGTGTATGTATTGAGATTGATGGTGCAATAGTCGAAGATGCGGCGTGGTTAAGAAAGAAACGTGACTACAACTATATCAACGATGCTGAGTTGGATGCTACGATAAAGGGTGTAAACCTTGCATTGAAATGGGGTCTAAAAGAGATTGAGATTCGAGCAGTAACAGCAGACATCATTGCGAAGGAGCTGGAGGAAATTTTTTTCGAGCATGGACCAGTTGAAGAGGTACTCATGGACAATGGGGCAGCGTTCCGTTCGGAAGTTTTTCGGTCAATGTTGGATAAGTGGAACACTAGGCAATATTATAGAGCAGCGTACAGGCCTAGTGGAAATGGTATCGTAGAACGAAACCACCGAACTATAAAAGTCATTGCCGAGAGAGGAGGGATATCGCCTGCAGAAGCAGTATTTTTGTATAATATGTCGCCTAAATCTGGCCAACATGAAGACACTGTGCCTCACAGAGCAGTTTACACATACCAGTGGAGACATCCTAGAGTTGGATCATGTTTAACACGCTCTGACGGCCCTGAATCTATACAGATTGGAGAGGAGGTTTGGGTCAAGCCAACTGGAGCCCGCTGCATGACAAAATGGACAAGAGGAATGGTTACCAGGGCACAGTCGCGCAACAATGTTGAGGTGGACAGTATGCCAAGGCATATTCTTGACCTAAGAGTGATTCAAGAGGATTTAGAGAATGAAGGAGAAAATTGGAGAAGTTCTCATGAGGCTCAGTCCCAAATACTGTGGAAATCGCAAAGAGAGTGACACCTGCCTAAATGGAAGGATGATTATATAACAGGAGATGTGATCATGAGATCGGGGGGGGGGGGGTGTAGTTAAAAAAAAAATGATCTCATTGGCGTCTGTACGTAAAAGAGTCTCGTGTGGAAGCTATATATTGTTTTTTAAGCTGGCAAAAAAAATTAACGCAGAATCACAGCGTTCATAGGACGGGAGTTGAAAAAAATAAGATGGAGTGTACGAAAGACAGTGAGAGAAGAGGAAGTTAGTTTACAAGCAGCAAAACAATACAACAAATACAACATCTACCTTTTGTCACTCAGAATTGACATCTACTAAGGAATTTTAAGACAGTTTTTTTAATTTAAACTACAAGGAATTATGATTATTTTTAAAGTTATTCCTCATTTTAATTTTATGTTTTATTGTCCTCTAAATTAAAAAAAATTTTCTGGAGTTATTAGTATGTTATTCCTGTTTGATATCACGTCACCGCTGATAACTTATTTGTAGATTGTTTTTTTTTTTTGTTTTTTTTAAATGTTTAAAACCAGGGAAATTAATTAAAGAAATATTTCAATTCTCATAAATCCTGTTGTCTAAAAATCTAAAAGATAATCATACTTATTCTAAAACCCAGGTTGTGTGTGTGTGTGTCTGTACGTTTATATACTGGATCGGATTTCCTACATTTTTCAACCGATTTCAACAAAACTTCACAGGACTACGTAAAATTACCTTACAGTGGTTCTGACAGCACCAAAAATTGGAAAAACTCAATTGTTTTTGTATGAAATCAATTTGAAAACACAATTAAGTCATCACAAGAATGAAAGGGGGACAACTCATATCGAGTTATACTTATTATAAAACCCAGGTTGTTTGTGTGTGTGTTCGTTTATATATTGGATCGGATTTCCTACATTTTTCAACCAATTTCACCAAAACTTTTTTTTTAGCAGGTAGTGTTTCTTATTGTCTTGCACACTTTTTTCTTTATTTTTACATTCACAATGCTTTAAAAATTCCATTTACAAGACAATTGTTTATAATAAAATTCTATTCAATTGGTAGACTCATAACAATTGAAAACAATGTTTGGGTTTGACCAATTCGTAAAAAAAAAAAAAAAAAGAAAAAATAATTAAGACATGTGTGTCCGTCAACCTTAAACAATCTTTGTCAGTTTTATTTTTCAGTCTTTATGACGGTCGATACTTGATCTATCTCTTACCGTTACATCCATGGGCAACGCCAGGCTCTACTGCTAGTGTACAATAAAAATTATAATTTAACATCTATCTATATTTTTTAGATGAGGTATTGTAATGTACATACATTATTGTTCAGATTGTTGTCCTCTTTATTGTCACATTCACAACGTTTCAGCTGTTGTACGCTCCGACCTTCTTCTGGTGATATTTGTTGGAATTTCAAAACAAACCCTTTATTTAGTTCACGAGGGTAGATTGCTGTAATTCCACGTACTGTGCTTTTGGGTGATTTTGTTTTATAATTTATTTTAAATATAAATTGTTCTCTAAAAAGCACTAACTAATCATATTCATAAGTAATATATTTTATTTTTAAACTTCTCTGTAACAGCTTTGACGACTATCATCCCCCTCCGACGCATTACTGTGTAAAACAAATGTGTATCTTGAGCAGAAAGAGAGAGATACAAAAAACAACTTTGTACATACGTTAGAGA